TTATTGCCTGTCTCCCCCACTGGAGTGTCAGCCCCATCACGGCAGAGACCACCTCCACCGTGGGCCCGGTCCCAGCACAGAGTAGGTGCTCAACAGTGATGTGTTCAGTGAGGCATCGTCCTGCTCTTCGCTGGCTGAGGGGTACAACATCACCCAGAGATGCACACTTCAGGACCAGAGACACAATTCATTCCTCTCGACGGCCCCTCACATGGGGCAGATATTTGCTCAAGGTCACGCAGCAATGAGACAGGGCTGGGATTAGAACCCAGGACCTTTGGTTCCAAGCACCCTTTTGATCTGTTCCAGGACACTGACAAAATATTTACAGGGAAGAAGGAGGCAGGCCCCCACAAGCAATCCTGACCACAAGTCATTCAAAGTCCTGGCCACCACGTGGGTTCCCGTTGAGTGAGGCCAACCATCCGTCATGGCTAGATTAAATGAGTTTATTAAGTGCCACGGCCTTCCCTGGGGACACTGCAGGCCTCTGGGCTGCTATGTCACGTGGCATCCAGGGACTCGAGAGACAGCAAGAGTTTCAGGCTGATGCCACTCCGGAGATAAGGAAAACCCAGGGTCAGAGGGGGGTCACTACTCCTGTCGGGGGGAGGGAGACCTTCTTGTCCCAAAACCAGAGTCTGCCTGGAGCTTGGCCAGCAGAGGCATCGAGAGAAAGATCATAATGATGACAGCAGTAACAATCTGGTACCATTTATTCCCAGGGCCCACGCATTCAACTGTACCCCATCCTTCATTCACTCCCCCACCAAATAGTTGCCGAGCAGCTCTTCCTTTCCAGTGCAGAATAAAACATGTAACACTTACATTCTACTTAGGGGAGACAGACAATAAACAGAATATGCAACAGAATATAGGTTGAAATAAGCACATTGAAGAAAAATAAAGTGGGCTGAGAGCATTGTTTGTGGGGGAGACTTCTCTGGGCAAGTCTTTAGACAAATGGAAGAACTGGGGGACCCAGCCCTGCAGAGCTCCAAGCCAGGCAGAGGATATAGCCAGTGCAAAGGCCCTGAGGCAGGACTACGCCTGGCATATTTGGAGACTATCAAGGAAGCCAGTGTGGCTGGTGCTGAGTGAGTAGATGTCTCAGAGGACGTCAAGGGGGTAACAGGGGCAGATGACAGATAGCCAGGGTGGGTGCAGTGAGGACCTGGGCTTTCCCTCTGAGGGAGGTGGGAACTATGGGAGGATGCTAAGCAGAGGGATGTGATCTGACTCAGGTTTTAACAGGATCCCTCTGGCTGCTGGGGAAGGATAGATAGTGGGTGGTGAGGATGGAGGCAGGGAAACCAGTAAGGAGGCCACTGCAACCATACAAGTAAGAGATGCTGGGGGCTTGGGCCGGGATGGGGGGGTGAGATCTGGGGGATCCGGGTATGTTTTAAAGAAAACTGGTGACTCATTACAGACATACATAGTCCTGTGAGGCCAGGAGATGAACATCCTCTTTATAGGAAAGTAAACTGAGGCTCAGAGAGGTTAAGTCACTTGCCCAACATCACACAGTGAGGAAGTGTCAGAGCTGGGATTCTAACTCAGCCATCTGGTTCCAAAGCCTCTGCTTTTTCATGGTGACTGTCAAGAGTCTCCTCAGGGCCCATGCCTGACTCACGTGGCAGGAGGTCCAAGGTCTGAGATCAGAAGAAAAGCATCCCTATCCCATCACTAGCTCCTGGGTCCACTGCAAAGCACAGTTGGGAAGAGTATCAGAGGGATGCTTGTGTGGGAGGGAGGGAGGGGAAGATCGGACAGGTGAGTGAGAGAGGAGGCGGCCAGTGATGTAACTCCAGCTCCCCAGGTCTGTTTGTGAAGGGCAAGGGGAGCAGGGTACAGGACATGTAGGGAGTACTCTGGAAACACCTCCCAAGGGGAGGCAGTATACAATCAGATGACCCAGGTGTCCCATCCCAGCTCTGCCTTCACTCGCTGTGGGACCTGCAGCCTATCACTTAGCCTCTTTGTGCCTCAGTTCCTCACCTTCTAAATGGGGCTGCTGTGGGGGGAAATATATGGAAAGTGCTCTGGACAGACAGCAACAAGGCCCTTGGGATCCCAGGCAGGGGACACAGCAAGAGCCTCCTCCCCCGACTGCTGGCTGTCCCCACTGCCCCCTCCTTTGGAGCTTTGCCTCACACCTTTTTCCATCCTTTACAGTGACTCAGGGCCTTCTCCCTGCCCCTAATTCAGGAGTGACAGCCATGACTGCGTTGTGCCTGCCTGCCTGGGATTATGGCTTCAGGAGAAGAAAAAGATTAACACCCCTTCTGAAACGAGGACATTGACTAAATGACGTAGTTGAAGGCTGGATTCTTGGAATCATCCTGTGCCAGAGAGAGCTCCAGGTCCAAACTGCACCCCACCCATTTTACACATGGGAGACTGAGGCCTGGCCGGGGGCGAGGGGGGGGTGGGCGGGGAGGGACGTTTCCTGAGCCACGAGACTCCCAGAGACACAGGAGATCCAGGCAGGGTGATGGTGGGGGCCAGTCAGGATAGACAGGGCCTGGCTGGGCCACGAATTCATCTTCTGGTTGCGGGATCATGGGAGCTGGTCCCCGATCAATGTGGAAATACTTCATCATTTTCATACGCAGCCACACTCTGCAAGGCCTGGGGGCTTCCTCTCCCCGCTCCTCCTCCTCCATGTATGGAGTTCCTTTCTAGGATCTGGCTCCAAGATGCAACCTTTATATGCATATTCCCTCCAGATCCTCATGACTACCCTGTGAGGGTGGAGGAGGGCGGTATTAATGAAACGACCATCAGTCACAGAGAAGTGACTGGCCCAAAGTCCACAGCCGATAAGCAGCAGAGCTGGGGGCTGAGCCCAGGACTGCCTGACAGCAAAGCCTGACCTCTCGCTGCTCTAGCCTTTACCTTAGGGCCTCCCTCTCTGGAGCTCTTCCTCCGGCTTGCTCCACTAGGCACTGGTGGCCAGGTTCTGCCTCCACATGTCTGCGGAGCAAAATCAGCCCTGCCTAACAGCTGGCTCCAGATCTCCCCTCAGGGAGGAGACATATCTGGGGACATCTCCGGCGGAGAGCTTGTGATGGTCAGCGGTCTGGCAGCCAAGGAAGCAGGGGACGTGGCTGCCTGAGAAAGTCAGAGGGTGTGGGGGGCTGCCCCGGGGTACAAAGAAAGGCTGGAGGGTGTTTGAGCTGCTTGGGGCCTGGATTAGGGAGTGTGAGGCAATAACAGCCTCAGCCATATGAAGAGCAGAGCTATACAAAGTGCAATCTGTGGACCTGGCCTTTCTGGAACTACTTCTCAACGGACAGCAACAGGTAAGCTCAGACACAGAATAAATGGTTAGAGACTGGTACAGCAATTTAACATTGCTACAGCATTCAAGCGTCTGGCCAGTGGCTTCTGTTTTTCATGCCTTTGTTGTTTTATTTCATTTTTCAATATTGCCGGTGTAGTTTCCACACGTATCAGTCTCCAAGAGACTGAAACTAAACAGAAAATACTGGCCTTTCACCAGAAAGTCTGAGAAGCCCTGCTTTAGAGGAGCTAACCAGTGACAAGAAGCTGGTACCTGGCCCAATATGCAATTCAACATAAAATAAAGTTGTAACATAAAAAGTTTAGTTTTCAAAAGGACACAAATTTTTATGCATGCTGAAGCAGAAGTCACTTTTTTTAGATCACGGTTTCTCAGCCTCTCGCACCACTGACATTTTGGACTGTAGAAAATACTTTGCTGTGGGGGATATTTAGCAGCATCCCTGGACTCTACCACTAGATGCCAGTACGTCCCCTCCCCAGTTGTGACAACCAAAAGTGTCCCCATTTGCCTCTAGGGGGAAAAATCACCCCTAGTTGAGAACTGCCGGCTTAGATGGTCTGACTCTGCGTAGATGTGTGTGTGTGTATCCAGGTGATGTGTGTGTATATGTACGTGTGTGTTATCCCTGTCCCACCTTCCTCACGCTCATGGCCAGACATCTGTAGTTTGCAACCTCTGGTGTCACTCATTATTCTTAAGGGGTGCCCGTGGGATCTCCCCTCCCTAAAGCTGGCCCACAGAAGCAGCGAAACTATCACTGAGGATGGGTCTAAGGAGGTTGCCATGGGAACCAGAGCTCGCAGAGCTGAAGTCCATGCAGGGGTAAAACTGCCTTCAATGCCTCCTACCACCACCTCCAGCTCCCAGAGTACCAGGGGCAGTAGACAAGATCAGCAGCTGGACAGAAACCATGGCGTCCAGCCAGAAGGAAGGGGCTCGGTACATGAAGCACATCATACTGAGCTTGAGAGGAGTGGTCTTCGAGAACCTCAGGTCAACACGGTTGACAAGGAGGCTGGTGGAGCAGAAGCTTTGAATAGGGGATATGAGGGAGCACACAGCTTGTTTAAACCATAGCTGTCTGCACCCCAACCCTGGGAGGATACTGATTCAGAATGACCTGACAGGGCCTCAGGGTCTCGATTTTTAAAGCTCATTAGGTGATTTCGATGCACAGCAAGAGTTGAGACCTCCCTCTGAGTGGATCAGAATCCCCTGGGAAGCTGGAGAAAAATATAGATTCCTGGCCAAAAAAAAAATTTAAAGGTCTGACAACACCAAGTATTGGTAAGGATGTGGAGCAACTGGAACTCTCCTACACTGCTTGTGAAAATGGAAAATGGTACAACTACTTTGGAAAGGAATCTGGCAGTATCTATTGAAATTTTTAAATATACACACCCTAAAATATACTTCAGTAAAACTGTTTAAAAAAACATGCACACGCTGGGGCACCTGGGTGGCTCAGTTGGTTAAGTGTCTGACTTTTGATTTTGTCTCAGGTCATGATCTCAGGGTTATGGGACTGAGCCCTGCACTGGGCTCCCCACTCGGCATGGAGTCTGCTCCAAATTCTCTTCCTCTCCCTCTGCCCCTGCCCCAGCTCATGTTCTCTCTAAATAAATAAATAAATAAACAAACAAACAAATAAAATCTTAAAAAAAAAAAAAAAAACTATGCATACGCTATGGCCCAGCAACTGCACTTGAAGGTATGTATCCAACAGGAATGGGTACGCCTGGTTACCAAAAGACACGTTCAAGAATATTCATAGCAGCATTCTCCATAAGAGTCAAAAACTGGGAACAACCTAGAAGTCCATCGACAGCGGAAGAGATGAATAAAGATGGTGGCACATTCGTGAAATGGAATAGCACACAGCAGTGAAAACGGATGCACCGTTGCTACACACAACACAATGCAGGGGCCTCAAAAACTTGATATTGAGTGACAAAAGCTGGACAGAGAAAGGCACACACTATAAGGGTTCATTTATATCAAGTTCAGAACAGGTAAAAACAAACTTTATTGTGTAGTGATATGTACAAGGTGGTAACACCATAAAGACAACCAAGAGAACCATCGAAAAGTCAAGATGGTGGTACATCTGGGTGGAGGAGGGAGGAGGACACAATTTGAGATGAACCTGAGGGGAACGTGCAAGAGACTCTGTTCTATTTCCTAACCAGGGCAGTTAAAGGGTGTTCACTTTTCACCATTCATTATACTATACCTCCATGCTATACCCACGTGTATATTTAATGATTTTAAATAAAAGGGGAAAAAGGGGGCGTCTGTCACTCCCAGCAAAGCTCATTCCGCAAGCTGGGTTGGGGCCTTGGGATGAGCATCTTAAACATGCCCCCATTTCCACTCCCAGGAGATTCTGATTTCCAAGGTTCTGGGGCCACATGAGCTGAGCACATGTTGGGTGAGGAGCCCAGACAGCCAGCCCCCAACTGACAGGTCCTGCATCTCAAAGCAAGCTGGGCCAGCACAGGTGTTGAGTAGTGACTGGCACCTGAGTTAAGAGCCAAGCGGGCCACCAGAATAGGGGCCGGGCCACAGTAGGTCCTCAGTCAAAGCTGGTGCCCTAAAGAATGGCCCTATGGGCTGCTTGCTGTATCAGGAGTGGTCTTGGGCTCCAGGAGGGCATTTCTAAAGATGCCACCATGGGGCACCTCGGTGGCTCAGTCGTTAGGCGTCTGCCTTTGGCTCAGGTCATGATCCCAGGGTCCTGGGATCGAGCCCCACATCGGGCTCCCTGCTCCCCGGGAGGCCTGCTTCTCCCTTTCCCACTCCCCCTGCTTGTGTTCCCGCTCTCACTATCTCTCTCTGTCAAATAAATAAATAAAATCTTTAAAAATAAATAAATAAATAAAGATGCCACCATGGATGCAGGGGAAACTGGAAGGGAGGGTGGGTCGGAGTCCATTGGTCCCTGGAATCCCATTGCAGAGGGGCTGGCAGCACAGTGTGCCCACCCTGGATGCCAGGCCACGCCGACAGCCCCTTAAGGAAAACAAAAAGGATCGGAGGAAGCAATTAAGGGTCTGTCATCAGGGAGGCAGGGGGCATCTGCTCAGGCATCTGCCAAGACTGTTCTGTCTCTCCAGAGCCCAGGTGGGGGGACGGGACCCGGGAACCATCAGGCCCACCCTGTGTGTGACAAGCCATAGAAGACAGGGAGCTGTGTCAACATCATGTCTCCGTATTGGCCAGGACAAGCTGGCGTGGTGTCTCGAACCCACCGGTCATCACGGAAGGGAGGGCTCTACACCGCCCCCCCCCCCACCGCCGCAGCCCCTAATTTGTATAACAGGGAGCTCCAAGAGGCTTTCCTGGAGGAAAGATGCTTGGGATGAGGCCTGCAGGATGAGCGGGAGCTAACCAGCCAAGGCCCTCTCTCCCCCCAGGCTAAGAGAGCAGCATGGGCAAGGGTCCTGAGGTGGGAATAAGAGAATAAGGTCCTGAGTGCTCCCACGTGGCAGGTTTTCCTGCACTAACTCAGTTCATCCTCATGACAATGCTCTGACGTAGGTGCTATTATCCCCATTTTACAGATGGAGAAACCGAGCCTCAGAGAGGTTAAGTAACCTGCACAAGGTCACACAGCTCCTAAGTAGCAGAGACTGGATGTGAACCCACTGCACTACACTGTCTCTCATTCAGCTTGTTTTCCCCCAAGGAAGGAAAGGAGGCCAGTGTGGCTGGAGCCCAGAGAGCACGGGGGAGAACCGTGAGGGATGGGAGTGAAGGGTCAGCGGCACCCGGGCCACCCGGGAGGATGATGAATGGGTCCTGGCAGCAGTGGGGAGCCACGGAAGGCAGGAGGAAGTGACATCATCAGATAGGCGTTTTAAAGATGCTGTCCAGCCAGGGTAGAGCTGAAGAGTTGAGCAACACAGAACTATCAAAAAACACCCCCTCAGTTACTCAGCATTTACTGAACACCTCAGGCACCACGATATTCTCTCCAGATGGCGTGGTCCATTTTGGCTCCCCAGTAGATGGCAGGGACATCTCAAATATAAACACATGAACTCTACTGACTGTGATGAACAGGAAAAAGAGCTTTCTGGCATGTACCCCAAAGACCCCACTTAAACCTTTGATTAATTCCCTGCAAAATGCCGTCAAACCACTTCCACATTGTTCCACTGCCATTTTTGCTTTATTGAGGTCGATTTCCTTGAGATCAAGTCTTTCCTAATTAAAATTCGTAATGAAGATTTCACTCATCAATCACTTTCTTCGCACACAGCATGTACTACCGATTGTGGACAATCGCCACCAGGGATGTCCCATTCTGGCCCTGACTCCTGTCAACCCCAATTCTCTCGGGTCAGATTTTTGCAGATCTTCGTGTCAGTATGGAGATTTGATTCTCCTGTCAATTTTTAGGTCAATAACTATTCTTACTATGCACAGTTGTAGCTGATGTCAGTTTTATTTTGTGTTGATTATTTCTACCAGTGATGTTCATGACGGATTAGATCAGAGACAAACGGTTTGTGTTTCTTTCTTAGGAAATCCATGAAAAATTGAAACATGTTTGTGAGCAGAAAAATAAAAGAAGACTAAAGATAGCAAGATCCAGAGACAGACGGGCTGACAGGGAGAGACAGAATGACACAGAGACAAAGACAGAGAGATACAGGTCAGGGGGAGAGAGACCCGTGAACTCCCAGCCACTCAGCAGTCAAAGGGCAATGTCCAAACTGGTGGGCCCTGCCTCCTCTCCTGTCGAAGTCTGGACATTCCCATCTCCTGGCCCAGAAGTCCCTTCCCTTCTTGACATTCAGCTGGGGGCTTGCTTATTCCATTACTCAGGAAAGTTTTACCAAAATAAGAAAAAAAAAAAGTCGCTCAGATTGCGTCCCAGCAGACAGGGCCTCTGGTCAGATACTGGCCAGCTACACTACCCCAGGCCCAAGTAAGACCAGTCCCAGCCCTCAGCCTGGAGCCAGGGAAATCCCAGCGAAAGAACAGCCGACGTGGCAGAGGGAGCGTGGGCACTGGGGCCGGGCAGGCTGGGTTCAAGTTCTAGCTCTTGTCAGTTTCTCCACCTCAGTTCTCAGCTGCCTCATCTGAGAACTGGGGATAAACAGCCAGCCTGCAAGGGTGTGTGTGAGGCTGGGGCTCCATGTGGGAAGCACCTAACAGGTCCCTCTGCCCCAATGGCATCTGTGGCCCCCACGCTGCTGGGCTGGCTGAGGACGGCGCAGTCGCTCTCAGCACTGCCTACTGGCAACAGAGCAATGGCCCCATCCTCACCCTGGGGCCTGTGGGGTGAACAGGATCTGAGCTTGGGGGTCCCTCCTGGCTCACCTTCAGGCTGGTGAGCGGCCCTGCTGCAGGGCAGAGCTGGACCCTGTGCTGGTTTTGACTGCTCTTATCTTGCCTGCTGTCTCCAAACCATCACGAGTGGTTGATTGCATGAGGTTAGGCGTTAAAAAAGCCTCTGAGGCTGAGTCAGCAGGAGAGAGCACAGCAATCAATTAGCAATATCCACCGTGGCCTTGGGCTGGAGAGCATGTCTTCTTGTTTTCTGCATCTTTAGTTGGTGCACAGCAAAGACCCAGAGCACAGATGACTGAGATTCAGCTACACCACTGCATGCTGGTGACCTTGGACAAATCCTGTTAACTCCCTGAGCCTCAGTCTTTCACCCGAGAGATGGGGAGAATATTGTGATTCATCTCACAGGACTGTTGTGAGGATTAAGTGAAATGGTGTATTTGCAGGTATTAATAAAATTTTATGAATGAATGAGGTTTTTTACTCTCTTATTTCTTAGGTGAGTCAATAGCAAGGTAAAAGAGCTCTGGGCTGGGGCACCTGGGTGGCTCAGTTGGTTAAGCAACTGCCTTCGGCTCAGGTCATGATCCTGAAGTCCCGGGATCGAGTCCCACATCGGGCTCCCTGCTCGGCAGGGAGTCTGCTTCTCCCTCTGACCCTCCTCCCTCT